CATTTCAGCACTGTTTAAATACACACTGATAAATACATGCATTTCAGCACTGTTTAAATACACACTGATAAATACATGCATTTCAGCACTGTTTAAATACACACTGATAAATACATGCATTTCAGCACTGTTTAAATACACACTGATAAAAACATGCATTTCAGCACTGTTTAAATACACACTGATAAATACATACATTTCAGCACTGTTTAAATACACACTGATAAATACATGCATTTCAGCACTGTTTAAATACACACTGATAAATACATACATTTCAGCACTGTTTAAATACACACTGATAAATACATGCATTTCAGCACTGTTTAAATACACACTGATAAATACATGCATTTCAGCACTGTTTAAATACACACTGATAAATACATGCATTTCAGCACTGTTTAAATACACACTGATAAATACATGCATTTCAGCAATGTTTAAATACACACTGATAAATACATGCATTTCAGCAATGTTTAAATACACACTGACAAATACATGCATTTCAGCAATGTTTAGATACACAATGATAAATACATGCATTTCAGCAATGTTTAGATACACAATGATAAATACATACATTTCAGCACTGTTTAAATACACAGGGATGAATTCCACCCGAAATTTCGTCTTTATAAAATTGTAACAGTAAATTTAATAAAAATAATTAATTAATTAAGAATACTTAATTTGAATAATTTTCATAACTCATCATACGCCATGATACCACCCGGAGAGTTGTGTCCATGTCAGAAGTTATTTATAGGCCTGACAGTTCCTTCTAGATCAGGCTTGTCTAGAATCCATTATTGCCATGTTCACTTGGGTATCCATCACCAGATTGTCCCACTAGTGGCAAAGTCCTTGTAATTTAAACAATTTCAATGTGTGTTTTAGTGTTAGCTTGGTTTCTTTAAAGTATTTAAAAGTAATTTCCAGACCGTCGAATGTGATTTTTAAATGACACCAATATTTACTGACATAAATCTGCAGACTATTTGATTGATACCCTTTTCTTTCTATTGCCAAGTAATATGAAAAGATGTTTTAAACAATTATAACACTTCCCTTACTCCGCTTTCTTTCTTTGTCCTTTGTATTCAAACAGATCACGGCTATGTTCTTATGAGACATATGCATGGGCGCCCGCAGGGGGCGGGGCAAGGGGGGCACTTGCCCCCCCCCCCCGGCTTGATTGGATAAACTTTTTTTAGACAAAACTAGACAAAAAATGTATTAAAGTAAAGAGAAAAAAAAAAAAAAATAA